GTTCATTTCGATGTAGCAAGAGATATAACAACAATGTGGCTTGGTCGATAGTCACAATACGACATAAAGTCTCGTAAACGGAGGTGAAGTCGATCTGGAAAGTAGCGCCTTCTTTCGGCGAATCTTTCGAATCAGCGCAGCCAAATAAGCTAGCGCGATATGGATTATCTTTAGTGGTACAGTGATTTGTTAGTATAAGAATCAGTAGAAGACTTTGATTTGCAAGTGGATAGTGTTCACGAAATTGTTGCGAANGATTATCTTTAGTGGTACAGTGATTTGTTAGTATAAGAATCAGTAGAAGACTTTGATTTGCAAGTGGATAGTGTTCACGAAATTGTTGCGAAAGTTCAGCGCCAGTAGCGCCAGTTGCTTTCAGTACATCCTGTTGTTTGCGGAAGGTGAAAATAGATAGCAACGACTCAGCGATACCAAAAACGAATGAACCAGAAGATGAAGAGCCAAACATGGTATGTGGTACTTCAACCATACGCGCAACATAATGCAATAGTGCGGATACAAGCACATTTGCATGCTGGCATTTGTATATAGTTCTGGAAAAGGAATTAAATAAATCCATGCCAATTAAAGTCAAATACCTTAAAAAGTTACCTAAAAATTATTAATTTCTCTGTGGGTTGCTCGGTGAATAAGTGTACGGAGAGAAGAGTGATGAAAGTATTCACTGCCTCCAAATGCAAGTGATATGTGAACTCCCTAAAAAGACAAAAATGGTGTTAGAAAAATTAAGCCTAACTTTTATCCGATCTCTTTTACTTGACTGGAATCACCACAATCAGATTTACAAGCGCGTCGATGAAAGACTCAAACTTCGCGCCATCAACAATTACTGCTGCCTTTGCGAGCACGCTACCAGCAGCGCCATCCTCGGTGGCCTCAACAGCGATTGTAGTACAGTCAGCATGTGCGCCAGTGTTCGCTGCGCCTTCTTCTGCCCGCAATAACTCTTCATTAGGTATCGCTTCGAAGTGTTGCAAAAGCTGAAACTCGGACCCAGTCTCAATGATGTACTTAACTAACGAACGTATTATAAACAGGGCATTGAATGTTTGCCATATGTGCAGGTTGCTTTCTTTATCAGACAAAGAAAGTAACTCAGCGGCTCTTTCAAGAAACACAGATACCAGTGAGCCAAAGTTGCCTGTTTTAAGATTGTTACTTATGAACGATTGGCAGAGTGCCTCAAGACGTGAGTCCAAACTTAACTGATCTTGACTGTAAAACAAGCAAAGAAACGTTTATTAGGACGTGGGTGTGGTTCGAGGGGGTGGCGTTCACACGTCA